CTACAGAGATCTGAAGTGTTATTGACAAAAAAAAATATTTCCAAGGTCACGCTTAATTCCACAGTAAGTAATCCCTCATGACAAATACCTTCTTGGATACTCTTTTAAACTCTGAGAAGTCTAGATGAAAATAAATCAAATTATACAAAAAATGTAAATTCTTTATATTCTAAAGGGAAAGTGTGTTTCAACCATGCCCGTGCCATGAGCACTTAACAACTGCAACTAAAAGAATTAACTAAAGGTCAACAACCAGTCAAAATAATAAGATGTTAGCACCTGTTTGGCGCTGCACAGTAGACTCCTGTGGCAATAAGACTGGTTATGATTGTTTGTCATTGTCTTCTTGACGGCAACGGACACACTAACACACACAATTAGCTGTTCTCTTGAAAACCACAAGAATTTTGTATTTAAAATCTTGGATCTAGCAACCAAAATGAAAATTTAGCCCATTTTCTCATTTGTCAAGAAAACAGTGACAACAATCTCACTGAGCAGCAGAATAGAGCACAAAGTCTTTCAACTCAATTCCAACATTTTGATGCCATTATTCACTTGCAAACACTTCAGCTGGTAGATTTTGTTGTAGTAAGCATGAGAATGCACAACACAAGTTTAAACCTGCACTGAATAAAGCAGACATAAAATCACTTTTAGTGTGGGCACAACAGCGATCCAGCGATTTGTGTCAGCGATCCAGGGTTTGATCCTGGGCCAGCAAGCTCTAGAAATAGTGCTCAGAAATTGGAGGAGGAGGAAGCACTTGTATTGTCCTCTAGCAACTTGACTCTCGCAAAAACAAGGCACTGTTTGAAGATGTCTCTGAAGATGTTATCTAGCATTCTAGGGTTGGAAAACTGTCACAGCACAGGACTCATCAAGAGGGAGAGTGGAGACGGGTCAGAGGACTCTGGAAATACAATTAGAATGCCAAGGGTACATGCAGCAAAATTTCTGTATCTGTAGCAGTGGAAGATAATATTCCTGCTCAATTTAGATAACTGGCAACAATGAGGGAGAAGACTCCATATCACTGATGTGAATAGGGCAAAAGTGGGACATCAATAGGAGGGTACCTGTAACAGAACACTGGCCCTGGTATGCATGCATAAAGTAAAGCATGTGCACAAGTCTTTGCAGTATCAGGGCCTTAAAGAGCACGCTGCGCCCAATCCAACTGAGACCCCTCCCCTGAAAGCAGGAGACTGTACATTTTACTTTTTAACTTGAGAGCTTGTGGAGCACCTGCTTTTTGGCTCAATATCAGAGCTTTAAAGAGGAAAATTTGAAGCAAGGGCCCCTTCTCATCCATTGAAAAAATGAAGAGAAAAACCATCAAGATAGAATTTCAATGAACAAAACTACAGAGACACTAACATACAAGACTATACTCAACATAAAACCTACAAAATTTAACCAAATTTCCTACCATTATAAAACTTTGACTCAAATTACAAGAAAAGAAATAAGGTTGGCACTGAATGTATCATGTTTAGAGAAGAAAATCATCACCATCGTTATTTACATAGCAACTTCGACGTCCACCGCACGTAACAGAGAAGCAAGACAGTTCACTATTATAATATATCACTGCCAGCATCTCACTCCAACAGTAGCAGCAACTGGTCAAATTCACATACAAGTTCTTAAATTTAAGTTTCTTACCTTCTGAGACTGTCCTTTTTCTCATCTCTCGTCAAACAACTATCTAGGTGTCTGTTTATATATTGCTCTGGAATAGCAACCTCACACACAGGACAATCCACTGAAAATAAAATAAAGGGCAACTTGATGGATTTTTAAAAGCTTATTTATTACTTACAGCAAAGCCAAATATTTTCATATGAAAAATACAATAGTTATTTATTGGAGAGTCAAACACAGAATTCTAGTTTTTCTTTTTAGAAATTTGGCACATCCACCCAGACGAATACTAAAAAGGTAATCATTTCCATTTCTAAAACATTTATTCCTACCTTTTTCAATATTTTGAGCAGCATCTTCTACCGTGTCACAGCTTATATGTTTCATATGTTTGCTATAATAAAGCTAATGAATGCTGCAAATATAGGGGTAACAATATTTGGGCTTCTATGCCACTGTAATTGTGCATTACTGTGAGTTTACATAGTTTGAATTATTTCAATTCCCAGTAAGGAAATTGTTCTTCAATTTTGATGAATAATAAATTATGCTAATACTTCATACTCATGTAGCACTTCCTTAATCCAAGGATTTCAAAAGAACTACTTTCATATATTCATTAATTAACTGTGCCTTACAGGAGCCCTGCAACAAAGACAAGTATTAACCTCATTTTTTGTATGGGTAACCGAGGCAGAGAGAGGTTATGTGACTTAGCCAAGGTCTTACAGCATAACCGAGAACTGATCCAAAATCTCCTGCTCTGACAGTAAGACGTGCTCCCTCCTCCACCTACAGCAGAGATCATCTTAAATGAACTCTTCATGTATTTATGTTCTCCCGAGCATGTATTTGTAAAAAGGAACATTGAGAATCGCAAAGATGTCGCTAAAACCTTTTATTCTTTTAATATGCTTGCCCTTATGTGGTCAATCACTTTGTATAAAACCCCTCTACCCAGTAATATTTAAGGCATAATTTGAGAGTGAGATTCTTCGATCATCATCACTGTGTTAATACGAAAAGGATCAGTTTTAAACAAGAAAATTAATTCTTGATGACCCTGTAATACCGTTTCTTGTAAAGAAATTTGATGATGTCTGAGACTTCGACTAACACATTTACAAAAACCTCTTGAAACTGGCTCCTGAATCAGTATTTCAAATCAGAAATACCTTAGCCAAGACAGAAGTACAATAAACAAACAAATCTGCACAGCCTATTATTGCCTCTGAGATTTATGGTTCAACTCCCAACATGGCATCAGAAATAATATTCTCCTTTGTAACAACTTTAGGCTCAGCAGGTGCTGGTGAGAGAATCTTTCGTGTATTGTTTGGCCAACTATATCAGATTTGTTGGAATAATTTATGTAATGAATGCTGGGGAGTGATCAGAAGGTTTAGCTGTTAATCATAAAAATGGTAGCCCTGAAATCTTCATTTACCAAAGAACAAATGAGGCGTATACTATACAGAAAGACCTTACAGTAGGTTTCAGTGAGCAAATATGATGCACGATACCAAGTAGCAGATCATCTGGGTATGTGGATAATATTTTTACATAGCCACTTTTCTGACCATAAGCGCATATTTAAGTGGTGTTTAGCAAGCTGATGAATAGGTAAAGACTTGTGAGCTCTAGTCTACTAATAAATAAGTATGCGAGTCTTCCATGGAGGTCCTGGAAGACACGGATTCCTTGACTGGAGAAGTATCGGCAGCAGCGGCGGGGCCCCAGGCCGCCCCCTAGCCCCGAGGAGAGGCAGCAACCACCAGACCACCCCCGCAAGGCAGCAGCCCCCTCTCTCCCAGCACCTACGATTTAGTTAGCAGTGTTTTTAATAAAAGTCAGACAGGTCACTAACCGTGATTTTTTGTTTATTGCCTGTGACCTGTCCATGACTTTTACTAAAATTACCCGAGACTAAATCGTAGCCTTACTAATAAATTGTCAAATAGAGACTTAAAAGAAGAAATAAAGATCCGATAATAGTCACATTTTTACACTTGCACAGTACATTTATTTCCATTTTGTTCTTTAATCAGGACAATAAGGATGTCAAAATTAAGAAGATTCCACTGTTTTATTTTAGCAGATTTCATTTATTTTGAATATTGAAACTACTAATTTTTACTCTTCTTAGCTCTACAGAGGACACAGACCTACAGCAGGCTGAAGTATTATCTTTTTCTGGACAGCATATCAACAGAATTGTTAACTAAAATGCAACTGCAAATAAACAATATGCCTATATGTGTATCCCTCAACTGCATTATAACTACACCTTAATACACTTCACGTGGGTCAGGGTGAGCAAGGATGTGAGAGCCAGAAAGAACATAGCGATTAGACAGCAAACATCTTATGAAAAACAATAATTTGAAACTAAGTAAGTTTGCTATGTAATCCTAAAGTGCCTTAAAAAAAGTCCTGTGTTTTTATTAATAACTTTCTTAGAGTTGAATTACACATTAATCATTTGGTGCTGGCTCAAGTCCCCCCATGAAGTATGTTTTTAATGCAACATCATCCTGATTAAGCAGCAGCCGCCAATACCATTCAGTACCCTCAAAGGGTATGTCTACACTTCAGTTAGACACTGCGGCTGTCCTGTGCCAGCTAACTTGGGCTCATGGGGCTCAGACTAATGGGTTGTTTAATTATGGTATAGATATTTGGGCTCTGGCTGCAGCCCAAGCTCTGAGGCCCTCCCACCTCAAGAGGCCCTAGAGCCCAGACTCCTGTCCAAGCCTGAACGACTACACTGCAATTAAGCAGCCCCTTAGCCCAAGCCAGCTGGCATGGGCCAGCCATGGGTTTTTCCTTGCAGTGTAGACAAACCCAAAGATGTCCCAATAATGCAGCCCTCTGGATGAAGCACATCCCAATTAAACATAGCAGAATGTAAATATGTGTACCTTTCATCTCAAAGTAATACAGAGAGATTAATTAAGCATTTTAAGGCAGGCAGTGTATATCTGATATTGGCGACAAACAAACAGAGTAGAAGACTGAAGCATGGAATGAGAAAGACAACATAGGCAACTCACCTTTTGTAACTACTTTCATTACAGATGTAGAGGGTTTCTCAGGATTTCTCATGCCTTCGGGACTTGTGGCTGCCATCCCTTCACTGACCACATCATGAGTCTCTGCAGAACTACAACATCTATTATCTGTTTCTTGTTCATTGTTGCAACCTTTATAGTCCACCTCAGCAGCTACAGATGTCCTTTTAGGGGTCTGAGTGTTTTCCTTTATCAAGAAATGGTCTATAAGTTGTCTGTCTTGTTTTAAAGCTGAACCAACCATGGAACCCGCAGCATGACCTTTGCCAGTAGAATATTTGGTATAGTTTGTTGAAGGAGAAACTGGTGATGAATCCAAGACCAACTCGAACAGTTGCTGCCTAGAAATATCCAAAAGGTAAATATATAATTAGATAAACATAATATTATTGGGTCCCTCTGACACCCGTCCCTCTACCCTTCTTTGGGAAAAAAGCAGGGAGTAAAGAGAGTAGGGAAGCTTCCTAAGCTCTAGTTCCAATTCCTTGTCATTCCCCGGCCTGTTAACAAGACACAGCTTGAGAAATCCACCTCCTCGTGTAAAATAGGAAGCACTCTCATTCAAGGGTTGAGAAGAATCAAAGAACTCATTACAAATAAGAAGCATCCAGCTCTTCCAGCAAAGAGAATTTACTAAACATTAATCAAGTGTAACCACAGTGCTACCTTCCTAAATCTACAGGCAGAGCTAGTGCCTCTGTGGCAGCTCAGAACTCTGTGACGCTAAAGCACAGTGAAAACGCTTAAGTGAAAACTGCTAAAGAACCCTGGGAAAGACCCTCCTTGCTGCTCTAGGCCTTTCATGCTGCTGAAGAAAATTAAGATGTCCATTAGCGTTCCAGAGCTGGCCCTCGGAAACTTCTTCCTGACACAGGGTTTGCACAAGGCAGCTTATATATTGTCCAATGAGGCCACCACACTTCAATCCCCTGCACAGGGGGCCAAGGGACATGTTACAGGGTGTCAGGTTTCAGAGTGATAACCGTGCTGGAATTCTGGGTGGCACTTTGACCATAGGCAGTTGCGAACAGGCTGTGGTAATCCCCAGGGCTGTCTTACGTTATATGAAGGGTCTCATTGGCCCCTACCACCAGCTCAGAGCTGCTTGTTTTTGTGCTGCACTTCTTAGAGAGAGGCAATTACACCCCCTAAAGGCAACAGTGAAACTAACAGGAATCAGGTCAATTTCATTCTGTTCAAGATTGGGAAAGCTTTGAATAGTAGCAGAGGCAGCCACTGGTGCTACTTGTAGACAATAACTCATCAATTGAGGCTAAAGAAATACAGAGTAGTGGACACAGGTATTTATTTTGCAACTACCTGAAAACTGAAGGAAGGCCACAGGAAGCCACAAAGGGCAGAACACTTAATTAGCAGAGCCATGCAGATGTGCACACTGCACTCAGGGGTGTGGCCACAGGTGAGCCTGGAAGTGGGATGAGGTGGGGAATAGGTGGGGGCAGTGGGGTGAGGTGAGGGGTGGTGATGGGGGAGCTTGGGGCACACAGGGCTGCTGCGGGGCAAGGCGCCTCTCTCACGACCCCAGCCCCGGGGCTGCTGCAGCGGGGCGAGGCGCCTCTCCCCCAACCCAGGTGCTGCTGCAGGGAGAGAAAAAAGTGTGAATGCAACAGATATTTTTGAGGTGGCATAGAAAAGGAGAAATAAAATATAAATGGAATAGGTAGAGAATATGAGGTAGGAAAGAAAGAGAAAAGGATAAAATGAGAAGAATGTCACTAGGGACAACACAAATGCACCATAATCTATTATAAAAATAAAGGGGGGAAATGGTGTTAAGTCTGGAAGGAAAAAGATTTTTTGGTTTGGGTTGGGTTTTTTGCAAAAACAAGAGGAAGACAAGTAAATTACATTTTTAAATGTATCAAACTGGCTGGCAATACGTTACATTATATCAAAGTAAACAGCATACAACTGTTCCAATCCTTTAAAAACGGAAGGGAACAGAGGTATCGGGTATTTATTTTTATTCTTACTTGAAGTTGCAGGATTAGTATCTTCAAGCGACAGATATAAGCCTATGCCTACTGGCATTCTGCATCAATAACTCAAGAAACAGTCAGGGACCGTCTCAAAAACAATGTCATTACACAAGCGCAGTCTTTTGATAGAATGTCAGGGTTAGAAGGGACCTCAGGAGGTCATCTAGTCCAACCCCCTGCTCAAAGCAGGACCAATCCCCAGGCAGATTTTTGCCCCAGATCCCTAACTGGCCCCCTCATGGATTGAACTCACAACCCTGGGTTTAGCAGGCTAATGCTCAAACCACTGAGCTATCTCTCCCCCCAATAGATGCCTCTGTATTCATCCTCTGCATTACCTGACGATTTCTCCTCCTTGGTAAAGATTATGACTGTCCACTCAACAGAAAGTTCCCATTAAAGAAAGAACAAGCAACAATGTCCAATTCGAGACATTCTTATACTAGGCCAACTAGTTAGACTATTTTTATTAGTTGTTTAAGGTGCAGCAACTACACAAGATCCTTTGGTTGGTTGGTTTTTTTAAACCCATACTTCTGCCACCAGGTGAATCTGCAATACTACTAGTCAATGGCTCTTACATTAATTTAAGGACCACATTAATGTAAGGACACAGTTACCACTCTCACTGAACCTGTTAGCCCATGTACCATTGGTATAATTGCAGCAGCTATTTAAGAGACATACAGAGAAGCCAAAGATCTCATTCTGATTTCCCTGCACTACAAAATTTAACCTTACCATGGCAAATTCACATTTACAATAGTCCCAGGGCACGGTGAACTTCTACAGCACAAACAAGAGAGTCAAGAGCAATTAACTGTGGCAACAACAAATGTTTTGCTGTCTGCTCTCAAACAGATGTGGTCTAAGTTTCTACTGGTGAAAGGATTGTTAGTCCATGACAGACATGCAATACCAGAAAACACTAGCTACTGTTGTCACAGGACTAAATTCAGGAAAAATAAGAACTAGCTGGTTCTGAACATAGTGAAATTCACCTCGTGCAGAGTGTTTTTATGACTCACTTATGCTCCCTGTTAGAAGCTTACATGGGGGGTTAATTTCATCCTAAAAGATCAGAAAACTATGAGACAGTATATCCATTTAAAGCCTTAGGCATCAACAAAAGAACATTATAATTCATGTATGGGAGACTAGGACAAGACAAGTGCAGATCACTGCACAGTAATCTTCAAATTAAGAGTAATATGCTGAAATTGTGTAAGATTTGTCATACGATGGACTGCTACATCCTACATCAAAGATGCAAAGAAATTAGACACCTATTATTCATAAATATTTAGGCACAATTCACTCCATCAGCGTGTCTTGCCAACGGCACAATTTTCGGGGAGGAGGTGAGCAGAATAGGGGGAAAGAAAAGAAGGTCGGGCAAGATGTTTTTCTTACGGTCACATAAAATGCATATTTCTTCAAAATCAACCATAAACACGTATTCACAGTCAGCAAACAGTCTTTTCAAATTGTTTTTTTATACAGAAATAGAGCCGGTACCATTCCCTCCACTGCAGCAAACTAAACTATGTGCAATTCAGATAACATAAAACAGATCAGAAAAGATAATCATTTGGTTTTGTAACACAGATCAGCTCTCTCATGTTATTGCTGATGATAAAAAACTTCTAATATGTTCTTATTAGTGAAATATCTAAAAGATTACCTAGTGGCCCATAACTCAGTTTTCTTACACGATAGAGCTGAATCTATTTCTCCTATCTTTTCAACTTATTGTTTCATGTCATAGATGTCACAGTCCCTCAACAAAACAATGTGGTTTCCTATTTAAAAAAATAACGGAGACAGGATTATATATCTTTACAGTTTGGAGAGGTTCCAGCCCATGGTTGACAGATGTCTGAATTAAATTCACTCTTCTGATCAGCTTACCGACTCACCAAACTTTAGACTGATAAATATTAGGAAAAGAGTAAAATATCTTTCCAGGGAAAGATCAATATACCTGCCTACAGCTTGTAATGTCTCATTTTAGTAAGATTATAAATTCTACCGGAAAGGGATCATCTTGTATCTCAGTGTACAGTGGCTAGAACAATAGGTCCACGATCCTACATAAATACAACTAAGAGATACTAATGTACAGACAACTATCCTGTATGCAGTTTTTGTTAACTCCAGCTCCCATCCTAAAAATGTGTTCTGGTATAAAGTAGGCATCAATGCAAGGGACAATGATTGGGGTGGGGGGGAAGAACACAAATTGCTTCTAAAAAATAAATACAAAAACCTAGTTTCTCTATCAATAAAATGGGCTAAATTCTATATTAACTATAAAACCTGTCTAAGAGAACCACATATTTTCTTAAGGAAGACAGAAAAAGAAGCTTGTATAAACTCATTTCCTCTACTGAAATACTAATACCACTCCTCAAATAGTATTGGATAAAAATATAAATATATATAATAAATATAAATATAATATAATCTAAAGGATATATATATATATATTCTTCAAAAATTACATCAATTACCCAAACTGAACTGTGAACAACAATCAAGTATATTCTCAGAGTTCTCTCTCATGTTGAGTTAGATAATGAAGACTTAAAACAGACTTTTTAAAGACATCGATAACCAAACTTTGGACTACACACAATAGAAAGAACTTTACACCTTCACAATTCAGACATCCATGCTAGGACTACTATATTTTAACTTGTCTACCAAAACACAAATGGATCAGGTCAGTCTACACTTATTTTGTGGAAGAATCAAAATACCGTTACTAAATTCCAGAAAGGAGACAAAAGTCACACAATGGGATTTTCTGAGTCAAATGTTTTTTGACAACATATTACAGCTACATTTAGCTGTGTGGTGACATCTAGTGGCTATATTTTGTGTGCGACGAACCAAACAACATCCCCAAAACAATGTCAAAATTTAATGAAAAGTCACTGGTATGTTTGGTTGTAAATACAATATAGCCCCATTTACCTGAACCAACACTACTTGAAGCTTTCTTTATTATTAACTGTCACCACCTTCTCTTCCCATCTATTGAATCCCAGTTATTCCAACTTCAAATTATCCCTAGTGGTTCTGACAATAGTTGCTCCAAGTGGTTTTGACAACTAGGATTATACTGCAGTTTCATTTGTCCCTCCAAACCAGGGGTGGGCAACCTTTTTGGCCTGAGGGCCACATGTGGGTGGGGAAATTGCATGCAGGGCCATGAATGTTGGGATGCAGGAGGGAGTGCGGGGTGTGGCAGGGGGTGCGGTATGCAGGAAGGGGTTTAGGGAAAGTGGTTGGGGCAGAGGAGAGCTGCAGGATGTATGAGGGGGTTCAGGGCAGGG